ACAGCACCTTCCATGTCTCCTAGCTGCGGAAGTGTCTCGTGGATGATTTAGCGGTGGTGCCATTAGAGGATATACAGGTTGACGACAGCCTGAATTACATTGAGCGCTCAGTCGCAATCCTTGTGAGATTGAAGTGTTTTGGTGGGAAGCCAGACTCACTCATGAAGTCACTCGGCGAGTCAATGCCATGACTCGGCGAGTTCATGGCAATCTTCTTGTCTCAGGAACAACTCGGTGAGTCACAGCTTAGAGTGTTCTTCGGATGAATGAGAACTCGGAGAGTTGTTCATACAACTCGGCGAGTAGGATGAAGGACTAGTGGACTTGGGTATAGAGAAAGGGACTCGGCAAGTTGGCAAGCCAACTCGGCGAGTCTGGTCAACTGGCAGTTGACTGTGACTTGACTCATGACTTGTTAAGGGTAAATGGACAATTTACCCTGAGGGTGGTTAGCAGTATTTGACTAAGTGTTTGGTGGGAATTACAGTCAGAGGATTTCCGAAGCAGCAGCAGCAGACAAACCATTCCCACACAGATCAGTAGCTACTACGAGGTGAGTTACCCTCCAGTAGCGGTGGGTCTAAGGCCACAATGCCGACCCACCAGTAGGAGACGTATGATAGATGATTGTATTTGTGATATCATCTAGGTTTGCTACTACCTGATATGTTATATGCTAGCATGATATGTTGTATGTGATAGTAGTAGAGTGTGGTTGTTAGGACCGAAGCGTAGTCAGACACCCCAGATACGTCTGACAGTATATGATGATATGTTTGCATGCTGGCTTTGTACGTTATATACGATAGAGGTAGTAGGAGGGGACTAATCCCCGAGTTCGGTTGCTAGGACCGAAGGGTAGTTCAGGAACCCTAGATATGTCTGATAATATGTTATGTTATGATATATGTGATAGTAGCAGTAGGGGGTGAAATAGTGCCCGAGGTTCGGTCGTCAGGACCCAAGGGTAGTCAGCACCCCAGAATGGCTTGACATGGGTAGTCAGCACCCCAGAATGGCTTGACACGGGTAGGTCGGCACCCTAGAATGGCCGTACCGGGTAGGTCGGGCACCCCAGAAATGCCTGGCAATATGTATGATATGTGATTGTATGGTATGCGGTATGATGGGGGAATTCAATAAGCTTCGTGCTTATAGTTTTCAGTTTTGGTTTTAGGTACCTCTTCTTCGAAGGGGAAAGAGCTGGCGCGGTAGCGGCCTATCACACACCCGCTTCGTATTCCGCATCATGAGATCTTCCTAGGGATTTGTACTCTGACATTATTATGTTTTATGAAATGTTTTCCAGACATGCGATATCTTTATGAAATGTTATGATCAGTAAACGTTTTAATTCGAATGTTTTGCTAAATATATGTTTTCAAAAATGAATTTTTTGGCTCGTATTTTTCGGGTGTTACAATTCCAGTGAAGCAAATCTTGAACATTCTATTCAAACGCTACTTCTTTCTGAGTTTGGTGCTTTTACCCAGAAGTTTGACCAAAAGCTTGATCAGACTTTCAATCGCTTTAACCATCTTTTGAGCAGGATGCTTAAATACAACCTGGGGTGGGAAAAGATTGAGCAAAAGGTTAACTTTATGAATGGTTTAAGGCCTGAGTGGAAAGTAGCTGTTTCAACTATTAAAGCTCATGAAGAGTTCAAGAATCATTCGTTAGCACAGCTAGTGGGAATACTTAGGTCCCAGTAAGATGAACTAACAAAAGGAAGGGAAAGTTGTTTCTGGTATGGGTTCATTGACCCTAGTTGCGAAGGGCAAAAAGATTGAAGAAGATGATTCGGAGTTTGATCTCTCAGATTGCATACTCTCGAAGGAGGAATATGCTTTAATGTTGTCTAATCCCAAATGGTTCGCCAAAAATAACTTTGGACGTCTCAAAAATACTAAAAAGTCGAAGGATGAGAGCATCAACAACTCTCAAAAGGATGAAGTAAAGAAGGAGAAAAAGGTGATGGGAGACTCCGACTATGACTACAACTATTTTCATGGAAAAAAACATTTGGACAAGGAATGCATGTTGAGAAGAAAGACGAAGAAGATGGTGAAGCTTACTATCACAGAAAGTTAGAGGAACTTAAAAAGAAGAAGAATGTAGATCATGCTAAGCTTGCTTTGATTGTGCAGGAAGATGATGACGAGTTTGGAAGAGTTGACGTTTGATCGATGGATTCAGAGGATGAAGAAGTTTGAAGACCCACACATGGTGAATGCTTCATTACGAAGGTGGAGATCCCTGAGTATGAGGGAAAATGCTTGATGGTTCACAATGATATTTCAAAGAAAAGGGGGTACACTACTGATGGCGGCCATGTTACTGGCAGTTGTTTCGCAACGAAACCCATTTCAGAGTAAATCAGTAAATGCGAAAGAGTTATCAGAAAGGTATAATCTATTCTTTTATCCCTTAATATTCCTGTTGCTAGGTATGAAACTGAATTAAATGATTTAAAATTTACTATTTCCAGCTTTAGTGATAGTTTAAAAAGAGCTGGTTTAAGTAATTCTAACTTGATTGATCAAATTAGTAGGGTTACGAACAAACGTGAAGAGAGATGGATGTGGATTGAGAAGTTAGAGTTGGAGTTGTCTAGGCCTAAGGACGATTTTATTTATTTGAAACGAGACAATTTAGGTGGTTGAAATAGAGAAATATTTTTTTTGTTTAATTGTTCAACGTCTTTATTTTAATATCACACAACTACATCTTGACTGTTAAATAGGCAAGAATATCCACAAAATGATTTTTTCCATGGTATGCAAACTTTTATGAGCTAAAATAATCATAAAATTATTTTTTGTCATTTTCAAGGTTATGATAAGAAATCTAACAATTATTACATAAATTTGATAGTCTGCAAACATATGGTATTTGGTATTTATTATACGAATTTGTTTTATCCAACATTGTATATGTTTATGAGTGCATTTTGTTTAAATGTATGTATTGTATGTATTTTTATTGTATATATGTGCATATGTATGATGGATGTATGTGTATTTGTCTGCAATAAAAAATTTATGTGTGTATAATGTATGCATATGTGTATTTGTATATATATAGTGTGTATATATATATATATATATGTGTGTGTGTGTGTGTGTATGTGTGTGTGTATGTGTGTGTATGATGGATATATGTGTATTTGTGTGTAATAAGAATGTATGTATGTAGGATGTCTTAAATTTTTTATGACTTAATTAGGCAATCCTCAAAACTACAATGCTATAATTAAAAACAAAAAAAAGTAGGATGCTATAAAGCAAAATCTCATTTAATGCTACAATTAAAAAAAATAGAAAGTATGATGCTATAATTCATTTCATCATGTAAAGTATAATGTATAATTGCAACTTTATTTAGATTCCTAGTTTATGTGTATTTGTAATAGAAATTGTATCTGTATATCTTATAATTTTGCAGGAAATGGTGACGATATGGCTTTTGTTTTTGTACATCATGGCTGTTGTTATAGGTCATAGACATGGGGGTGATGGAGTTGAGGTTCCATCTTTCCCAGGCAGTAAAGGTGTTTATCATCATGAGCAGGATGATAAGTCTTATTATGAACTGTTATTTACTATTTTTATTCAGTTATTATAAAATACCATTTCTGATAATTTTTAATTATACTTATAGTTGCACCACACAGAACCTAAGCATGATGATAAGTCTCATGTATCTATGTAATGATCAATAAATGCATCTTGATTTTTGTAATTATTTTTTAATTGTGTTTATGATTTCAGTGAAAAAAAATAGCAATGTAGTTGGGTTTTTTTTCATAGTTTAAAAATAGCAATGTACTTTGGCATAAATAAATACATGTTGATTTGGTAAATATGATTGTAATTCTGTTTATGTTTTAAGTGCAAGAAAATAACAATGTAGCTTGTATTTTGTTCCATAGTTTAAAAATAGCAATGTACTTTGGTAGTTTTTTTTATTATGTTTGATAATTTAACTTATAAGTTTATATATGTTATTATTTATTATGTAGTTGAAAAATCTTCAAGTAATTCTTAACGACCTGGCATGTTGAGATGAACTTTATGGGTTTTTTTCAATCGGGGAAAGATGAAGGAGGAAACGATGGTAGCAGAGGTGATGGTTTGTCGAATAACTAGTTTGTGTTTTGTATGTTAGATTTGTTGTGACACTTTGGTACTAACTTGTTGTAATTATAAAACTTTGGTTGTTTATTTTAGCACGAAATTAATTATATATAATGTGGTTACACTATTTCGTACCTAATCCGATATTATGTAATTTTTTTTCCTGCATTTAATGTCCTTATGTATCAGGTTTTTTTGCACCAATATCGTTGATTAAAAACAATTAAAAAATAAATGAAAAATATTATTACTGACGACAAGAGCATTAGCAATGATAACTGTCTTTACGGGTGACGTTTTGATCAATAGCGATAGAGCAGTAGCGGAAAATTTTTATCGGCGACGTGTCGGCGCTATTACCTTTATCGACGACTTTTCCACTCTTTAGCGGCGATTTTTGTCGCCACTAATTTTCTTTTTCTTATAGTGGTAGCTGAAAAGATAGCTGATAAAAAAATGATGTTTGGTAAACTAACTGAAAGCTAGCTGAAAGATATAAAATTATATAAAAAGGCATTTAAGAGAATGTGTTTATATAATTAATTAAGAGGTATATTTGAAAAAAGTTAAAAAAAAAAATACTTTAAATAGTTTTTTAAAAAGTTAGCTTATAACTTACTTTTTGACTTTACAAATGTAACATAAATAAATAAATAAATAAACTTGAAAAATAAATTAATTTATCAGCTAGCTTTCACGCGCGCAAAATACAGGACTCAATAATAGCAAAAGTCATGATGGATGCTACATAAGGCTAATGATGTAATAGAACATGAAAAAGTTTATTGAACTATTGGTTAAAATTATAAAATAAGCAAATTAAAAGCAAATTGAGAGATATTTAGGTTACTTTGAGACATTAACGCAAGTTTTTATTATTAGGGTTTGAACATATAAGATAATGGAGTATGCATTTAAAACTAGTAGCCACAAACACAGAAGAGAAGGGACTTAGAGCTTGAAAGGGAATTTACAAATCTTGATTTAATGTCTCATGAAATGATAAAAAGATAAAACCTAAACAAGGAACGAAAAAGAAATGTTTTAACCCAAAAAAAAAAGTGAACATGCAAGGAAATCAAAGAGGGGTCCTTCAAAAGTGATTCTGACAATCTCTAAGAACAGTTGGTAGTGGCAACTTTTGATTAATTATCACAATGAGATGATTCATTGTCTTGCTCAATCTCAGAAGCAGCTTCTTCTTCTTCTAATTCAAAGCAACAATCATCAATCCCATAAGCTGCATGCCCATTCCCAAATGCCTTTATATGATCTTTTAAAGATCTCTTGTGTTTGAAATCTGATCCGCAGCTACAATACCAAAGTTTCCCACAGTTTTTCTCATGGGTTCGCCAATCTCCTCTGACAGCAAAGGCCTTGCCGCATTTTCTACACATAAACGGCTTGATCCCATGCTTCCTTTTGTAGTGTGTCTGAAGGGTTCTGAAATCTTTTAGTGGCTTGGCCCTTGGGTGATCGATGTTGTTTCGACACCCAGGTGCACAGCAGTAGCATGGTAGCCTTAGCATCGCTGTTGGCTGTGTTCCCCTTAGCGATTCTGGTCCTCTCCTGTATTGAGATCCATGGCCCCACATATGCATCTACAGTACATAAATCATTCATAAGATATCATATATTGGAGATATTATGTACATATAGCACAAATGTCACATTAGTAGTCGAACAATTGATTTATCGACTGAATTATATCCAAGTATGCTACACTTCATTTACATGCAATCCAAAGCACGCATACCATTAATTTAGCTAGTGTTATTTCGAAATGCATTTGCTAATGATATAGTAAGAGCAAAATGAATCCCCACTGAAACAGTTCGAGATTTATAGTATTGCTGATGCCACTAAATCCTAGGTTGAAAATGCATTCCGAGAGTAAAAATCTTGTCGATAAAACTATAAGTGGCTAGCTAGTACTAGTCGTACATGAATTTTGTTACTACACTGGTTACAACTTGTTCAATTCATCAAATAAATTAGGTGCATTAACGTACAGAAGTTAAATTTTATGGGTGCACTCTAAATTTCATCTGGATCTGTTAGGTTTTCAAAATCAATAACTACTTTATTTGTGGTTAAAAGCAATACATATCTCCTGCTACAGCAATAAATGGAAGTAAAAGACCACAAGAAAAGCTGCACGAGAAGGACTCAAAGGCTGTCTACATGTATAATTTGCTCTCTTTAATAAACAAAGAAAGCAAAATACTATTAGTAGTTTTTGATGTGTGGATAGCATAGAATATCCAAACCATCCTCAGAAGATTATGTGGGGTTTTTTGGTGGGAATTTACATGTTAAATCTGCGTGGTCAGAGATATGCGGATAGATGAAAAGAAGGCTTCTTTTTCTTTTTACCTGTTGAAATATGATCAAGAAGATCAAATATGTATCTTAGGTGGAGCAGGGAGATGATGAATAGAACAAGAGAAAGGTTTCAGTTTTGACACAACTGCCGATGAATAGAGAAAAGGAGAAAAAGAAGAATGCAAACTTCAAGGAACAAAAAGCATAATCCTTGTCTTGTTCAATCACAGAAAAAGAAGAAATTATTTTTACAGCACTATCTCTGACCAGTATTGATCAGTTGGACCAAAGTGTTGATTTGTTCAAAATCCCCAAAAACCCACAAATCATGCAGATGAATGAAAAAAGTCATGGGACTGAGAATTAATTAAAGGATAAATTAATGCTATAGAAAATCAAAACTGAAAGTGAAGAAAAAGAGGTAACTAACCCTAACCCTAAAAAACAAATATTATACATATATACTTTCTTTCATTATACAAAAAGTGAAATACGAAAAAAGGAGAGTTGAAAATTAGCAAGAAAAGAAGTGTACAAGGAAAGACGAATATGGGTTTTGGCTTTTTCTTTTTCTTTTTGTAACAAAAGAGATTCAAAGGAAGGGGGAACAAAGGTTGTGTTATAGAGAGCTTTTAAGGTAATACCTGCATGTTATTGTATCTGTTGAAGGTTTTGAAGCAAAGAGGGCAAGAGAACTGAGTTGGTCCAATTAGAATCTGAGCTGGAGTTGGGATCCAATACTGACCCTTGTTGAGTGCGCTTGTAAGATACCCGTTGCTGTGTGTACCTTCTTCCTCCTCCACTTCTTTATGATCAGCTTCAGTAGTATTGTTGTTTGAATTGGTGGAAAGCCTTGTGATGAGATCAGCTTCGGAAAAGCTAGGGCTTGGGAGACCAAGATGTAGAGCCACAGTTACAGTCTCATGATCATCATCATCAGTTGTAGTTTTGTCCTTGTGATGATCTACGTCCATGGCTATGGTTGTGGTGGTTGTACTACAAGAATCATTAGTTGTACTGCTAAGATATTCTTGATTTTGGGTGGGTGATCTTCTTGATGGGCTAAGGCTGAGGAGAGGAAGAGCTTCCCTGAGCGGTGGAGAAGGCGGTGACGGTTGATAGTAGTGAGTGAAACTGGAATAGGAAAGCGGGGGAGGAGCTGCGGGAGCAGGAGACAAGTAGTAATAGTTAGGGTTAAGATTAAACCAAGATCCATTGTAGTAAGTGGAGTAAGGGTGATCGCTGCTCATGTTGCAAAAGGTAGGAAGCAAAGATCAGATGAACAGCTAAGCTAGGATTATATACGTAGATAGAGAGTGAGAGAGGGAGAGAGAGAGAGAGAGAGAGAGAGAGATGGCCAAAAAGTTGAAAAGGTGAAGACTGAACAAAAACACCAAAGCTAAAAGATGTGCAAGGAGAGGTTTTAGCAAGGCAAATCAAGGTTGATAAAGTATTTAAAGCTCATCCTCATAATAAAAAAATAGATAGACAAGATATCACTACCTCTCTCAGATGTGACTAAACAATAGACATACATGCTCCATATGAGAGAGAGAGAGAGAGAGAGAGAGAGAGAGAGAGAGAGAGAGAGAGAGAGAGAGAGAGAGAGAGAGAGAGAGAATCAGTTAAGATTAACGGGGGGCAGTGAGAGAGATAATGTTGGGACTTGAAAGAACAAAGGTCCGTCATAGCACTTTCCTGTGTGGAAAGACGAAATTTGTAAATATAGGTAACTACCAAAACGATCCCTGAATAATTAGAATTCATAATTTCAGTCCCTTAGTTAATTTTAAAGAAGCCTTCGTTGACCTCATGAATTCATGATTTGGCTTACAACTAGAATACTATCCCACAGAATGCTTTATTTGTGATGTTACGGTTTTTGAGATTGATTCTTTTATTTAAAGTGTTTATTGGTTTATTATAGTTTAACATTGATAATAAAGATAATAAAGAGTTTTAAGTATTTGAATAACATGATTTCATAAACATTGATTTAAATAAAGAATTTTTATAAGTTAATTCTTTCTTATTGACTTGTTTAAAGAGTTTTCAATAAGTTATTTTCTAATTGCACATATAAACACTATTCTCCAAACACAAAAGGTAACTTATTGACTTATTATGTTTTCATTGTACTAGATAAGTTAAATCAAACATTTTTTTTTAACTACTTGCGACTTCTAACTACTCACATTCGACCGAACATTTTCACCCTAGTGAGAAAATTCTAAAATTAAGCAATCAGCTTCGCTATCAGCAAAAGCTCTCTTCTGATTTCCATGTACCACAAAAGCATCTTCCTTATCTAAGCCTTATCAACATCATCATTCTTCTTACAGTTGTTGATTCGAATCAAGATGTTGGTGAAATGGGGATTTGTGTATTTTTCAAGATCAATGATTTGAAACAAAAACTTTGTCACATTCCCTCTCTTGTTCATTGATTGGAAAACAACACCATAAGGCTGATGGATGATTTCACCGTCTTCAAACTCAATGAGGTTCAGCTTTGCCTTTGTCAGAGTTTAAGGCACTTTCAAATTCTTCTTGATAGCTAAGTCAAGATCAATATTTATGATAGCCAAATAATCATAGTAGTTGTAAAATTCTGAGTCCAGGTACACCGTATAAACCTTGATCTATTGAGTTGTTGTCTATTTTGGTCCTCATTGTAAAAAGAGTGAAAACGAGCACGTGGGGCATACCTGAGGTGTACATTTAGCATACTCGTCGGCGTGCATGTGAAGCAGAGACCACCTAGTACATTGGGAGTACCCGTGAGTACGTTGGGCGTACTCGCCCCAAAGTCCAAACCCTAATTTAGGGTGAGTCCCCTATATAATGGATATGATGGCCTCAATCATGGCCACCATTCCCAGAGAGAAAACCCTAAGAGAGCCTTAACCCTCGTTCTAGAGCTTTTGTGTGTGTGTGTATGTGTGTTTGAGCCTTGAGAGTTTTTGTTTGATTTTGAAGAGAATAGGAGGTCTTGAAAAAGGAAGAGTTTGAGTCCTATAACATCCAAATTTCCAGGTATATTCTTTTAGTTATTTAATTTAATTTACAAATTTTGAAGGGACTCGACGAGTTGGTGTCTCAACTCGTCGAGTAGGTTCGCGACTAGTAACGTGGATTAATGAATAGACTCGACGAGCCAGTGCTGCCGATTGAAACCCTAATTTTCTCAGGTTTGGGCCTATTTAAAGGCACATATAGCCTCCATATTCCCCCCATCAGTGTTTATTCACCCCATGAGAATAACCCTAACTCTTATTGTGAGCAAGAGAGGGAAGGAGGCTCATTTGAAGTCATTTTCTTAAGAGGAATAGCAAGGTTCTTCAAGGATCAAGGAGGAGATCTTATGGATCTATTTCCTTTTCTTCTCAAGCTTCAAATCTAGGTATAAAGCTCTTACCTTCTTTGTTGATTGATTAGATTCCATGGTTGCGAGAATTAGGGCTTGTATCACCTTTTGATGGGGCTTTGGGTGCATCAAAACTCCTTTATGAGCTTATGGTATAGATCTAGACCATGTGAGGTCCAGAGATACTGAAAGTGTGAAGCTATGGTTGAGCAACCATGGGGTTTTGAAGCTAGGAAGCATTAATGGAGTTTTAATGGCGTATAGAGCAATATATACCATGCATGGACACCAAGATTAGACCTTTAGGTGAATTTTGGGTACTAGGAGGCTAGATCTATGAGTTAGAGTTACATATATGACCTCAGTCGATCAAATGAGAGATCCATTTAAGACAACTCACCGAGTCTATGGAATGACTCGATGAGTTGGATTGGGTCTGACCTAGTACCCTTGACCCAGTAATAAATCGATTAGTTTGGGGGTCAACTCGACGAGCTGAATAAACACTAGGAAGAAATCTGAGATACGAGTGGACTCGGCGAGTCACATGGGTGCACTCAGCGAGTCTTGTCGAATTGGACTTTTGACTGATTCTGACTTATGTTGACTTCGTGAGTGGGTCATTTGGGACCATGGAGTGGTAAAATGGTCTTTTACCCATCCCAGGGGTTAGAGAAAGAATAAGAGGACTTTTGTGTGTAAACGAGAAAAAGATAAATATTGATTGAGATACTTGCTTAATATGTTAGGCGAAGGCTAGTCCGAGTTTATTAAGTGTGTGTCTATTCCCTACTATCTACGAGGTGAGTCTTCTAAATATACTTTACCATGAGTGGTATATTGTGTGATATAGATTTCTTATGTGCTTATCTGTGTATCGTGATATCCTACATTATTTCTATGTGATTTATGTTGTGTATTACTCAAAGTTTATAGAGTTAGGACCGGAGGGTCCATAGAGTTAAGACAGGAGGGTCCATCAGAGTTGTGGGGCTGGAGGGTCCCACTGAGACACATTGACCAGAGTGTCTTCCAGAGCTAGAGCCTCGAGTAGCTACTTATATGTGTGTGGTATTTTGGGGAACTCACTAAGCTTTGCGCTTACCGTGTTATGTGATATGTGTTTCAAGTTTTTCTCAGGATAACGGGATGGCACTGGCTTGATTGTACACACCAGAGAAAGAGTTATGCTTTAAGGATCCTGGATTATTATCTAAAAAATCATGGAGTTGTGTTTTATAAATTAAATAAAAGAGATTTTTGTAATATGTGTTATGAGAACTGCAAGATTTTAAATGAAAATTTTACTTGAAAATTACGATGTTACAAGTTGGTATCAGAGCCTTGGTTGGAGGGATTCGGATGCACCTTCGGGTATATCTAGACTCAAACTGAGGATTTGAGAAAATTCTTCAAAAGAAATGATTTTCTAAACGAGAAAGAGTTTCTAAGGGAAAAAATGATAAGGAGCAGTGTGTACAATCAGCCAGAGCCCGAACGGAGACTTCCCAAAATACCTTTACTTATTTGTGAATACCCTTACTTATTTGTGTTATAAGTTATTATTGAGATATTAGGGATGCATGCTAGAAGACAGGCTAGGTATTTCATATATTAGGGCCAGAGTTGCCTGATTTGTGATGCCTTAGCCTAGGAGTTGTTATATGTGATGTGCTTTGAGTATGTGTGGAGTAAGAGTATCCAACATGAATCTTTTATAGAGAATTTTGAGTAGAGGTGTAATCTAGGAGAGATACCTAGATGAGCATTGGAGGAGCCTACTGAGGGAGTAGTTAGATACTCGAATGCTGTTTGCTTCGTGATTTGTGGAGGTCTTGATGATGGGAGTTAGCTACTAAATGAATACGACGATAATCAAGAGGTAGATGGTTGACATCATAAGGAGTTCTTCAGCAGCTGATGGCAGAGAAGTGTGAGAACTTAGGAAGAGCCTAGGGCGTGACCTTTGTCAGATGAGTATGTTGATAGAGGAGAGTATTCGTAGGAGAGTGACTAGGTATGGCAGGATTGGTGATTGAGGAGGATGAGCAACTACTTAGGAAATTTGGGATGATCCGTGTGGAAAGTATGGGTAGATGTGGTAGGTAGTATGAGTCCGTACTACTGAAAGCAGAGGACCCATACTCGAAACAAGGAAAATTCCATAGGTTCTAAGTAGCAAACGGAGAGGTGATCACGTGATTCGAGTACCATGATTTGTGGTGTTTAGTGCTTCTGGTTTTACCAGTTATCCCATTGTGATTGATTAGATTGAGATCATATGTGATAGAGTGTGGGGCCAGAGGGCCATGATGAGCAAGTCTTAATGGAGTATACCTTAAAAGAGAAATTGAGTTCGTTTCCGAGAGATTTTATTGGTGAGATGCTAGTTGGAGCCGCAAGGCTCAGGGATGAGTAGAGATGATGCTTGTTAGAGAAACATGGTTTGAGTCGAGCCATCGGCTGATGAATGAGTCATCACTTTCTGTGGCAAGAGTTGCATTGTTCCCGTTCCTGGAAAAGGAGAAGGAGCTATCGAGTTTTTGGTTTCAGAGTTTGGAGGTAGGCTCCGTGGGGTAGCACTGGTGGTGACCATTTTAGAGTATTTAAGCAGATGGTCTGCTGTGAGGTATTCTCTTTTACCAATGAGTCATTGGTGGAGGCTGAGATGGAAGAGGCCCAGGAAGGTGTCTTTTGAGTATAGCATGCATTTAGCAGCAGTTTTAGGTGGTTAAGAGGAGTATATCAGGACGGTGGACCTCGTTGTTATGTTGTATGTTGGTGATGAGAGTGAGGTCTTGTGCTTTGATGATGATTCCCATGTTGGGAGGCGGTTCGAGGAGTCAGAGACGAGGTGTGTGATGGTTCATTACTTCCAGACTGAGGGTCAGGGTTATTTCAGAACAATTAAGGTATCCGACGGTGTGTTATCCTGAGATTTCGAGATGGCCAGAGGCAGTCAAGTTGGTAGGATTATGAGATTCTTTTCTGAGCTATGGGATATTTGGATTCGCTTAGTTTCCATCAGGAAGATCATTCAATGACTATATGGTACGTTCCAAGAGTCAAGGGTGATGAAACTGGAGAAACGGTCTCTGGAGTAGACTATTCGTATGCCAATTGGTGATGGTTAGAACCCTGAGTGTGATACTTGTATGTGTTTGTGTGTGTATGTGAGTGTGGGCAGGGCTTGTATCTCATTATAATTCGAGTATGGGC